GAATTACGATGTCAAGTCCTTTTTGTTTCAAGGACCGTTTGAAATCATTCACTGTGATTTTTTTTTTCTTTTTTCTTTTCTTAATTTTAATTCAGTTAGCCAGATCATTAGTTTCAGAGGTAGTATTCAAGAATTCTTCACTGTGATTTTCATTCACAGTCATTACAGATCATTCCATTTGTGTCATTCACTGTGATTTTCAAGATACTTTCGCCCAGCTCTCAATGAGGCAATGCGTGACACCTTAGCCTGGGTCCCACCTCTCTGATTTCTGGTTATGAATTTCCAGTTCCTGGGGAAGAGGCTTATATTTGAGGCAGAAGAAGCCAAAGGGGTTTGGAAGGTGTTCGCTCCTCTTGACCTTTTTTAAAGTCAATCCAGCAGAATAAATGATTGCGTGAGAGGTTTGAGGGTGGGGAAACAGGGAAAAGGGCATTCTTTTAGGATGACGTTGCCCAAAGCATCCGTGCTACTCTGTAATGCAGAAAGAAAAAAGAGGCCTCAGATCTCTGCTGCTTTTTGCCCACATTTCGCTATAATAAATAGGTATGTCTGAGACACAGACATGCTCACGGTTGGCTGTGTTAGTCTCACGGAAGTAACAGGATACCTGGTTACATTAAACAGCATTAGTTTCACCATTAATGCAGACGTTATGTTTTCATTACAATAATAGTAATACGGTCTTATTTTTAAAATAATTCAGTGCACCCACATGCTTGCTTCCATGACCAGGTACTCTTCGGTTTGAAAATAGGGAGCAGCAGGACGAATTGGAAGCACCAGGGAGAACCAGATAGGCAGGAATGTAGTTTATAAGAAAGATTGACTCTGGGGCTCCTGGGTCGCTCAGTGGGTTAGAGCCTCTGCCTTCGGCTCGAGTCATGATCCCAGGGTCCTGGGATCGAGCACCGCATCGGGCTCTCTGCTCAGCAGGGAGCCTGCTTCTCTGCCTACCTCTCTGCCTACTTGTGATCTCTCTCTCTGTAAATAAATAAATTAAAAGAAAAAAAGAAAGATTGAATCTAAGCAGCAGGAGCCGTGCCCTCCCTGCAAGGGAAGGAGCCCTTGTGGCAACAGGACTGCCCTGGTGATGATGAGGATGGGGACGATGGCCGTGACATTGATAGTGCCAAGCCATTACTGAATCCTTCACAGTTGTCAACCTGCTTCACGCGTGTTATTTCATCCCTGCAGCAAACTTGCTGTGACTTTCTAGATAAGGAGACTGAGACCAAGAGGCCATTAGAGCGGCTTGCCCCAAACCACAGGGGTCGGGAAGGGGCTTCTGACTTACACAACAGAAATGTGAATATTGCCTTCCTGTTCGGAGGCTTCTCATCAGTTCTTTTACTTGGGAATGTGTCACCATGACCCTGAGGCCAAGTTCACGGAGCTGAGGTTGCCTTCTCTTGATCCTCAGCAGTGGTGTTACTTTGCCATTATTTTTTAGTTACCAGATTTTTATTTCTGTCATGGGAATATCCAAGAGGGCGAAGGCAAAGTATGTTTGTTCCAAGTCTCACATAGAGTTAGAACGTCAGCCAACAGGTTTGCCAGGAAGTCACTGTTGGACTAAAACTGGAACCATCAGTGTGCCAGGGGGCGCAGACCATCAGAGGACTCCAGGAGGAGGAACAGGACTGCAGCATGGGGCGCCTGGGGGGCCTGGTTGGTTAAGCATCTGACTCTTGATCCCAGTTCAGGTCTTGACCTCATGGGTCTTGATCTCAGGGTCGTGGTTCAAGCCTCACAAAAAAATTAAAAATAAAATACCACTGCAGCAAGCCTGCAAAATGCAGTTACCGTGAGCATGCCATCCCTTCCTAATTTCGCCTCGGATGGGGGCAATATTCCACTTGGCGGGACAGCTGCCTGGTCTTATTTTCCCTCTGACAGTTTCTGGAGGGCAAAACCGCATGCTTTTTGGTTTTCTCCTCCCTTCCAACCAATCTTTCTAATCCCTGCACTTCCTAATGTTTATATCACCACACCATTTATCAAACATGCCTTTGAAATTCACCTTAAACAGATTTTTCCCGGCGGGGGAGTGGGTGGTACTGATTTCTCCTGTATTAAACTGATAGGAAAGGGGGGAGAAGTTTCTTCGCTCTAATCTGTACCAGGCCCCACATGCCTAAGAATGGCCTTCCTTTAATCCCTACAACATTCTCATAACGATGCCTTCCCAACTCTGTAGTGTCTTGATTGCCCATGGAAGACAGCTAAATGATGTTTTAAAAAAAGAGAGAGAGAGAGAGAAAACAATTAGTTTCTGGTATGAATCTTTGACCTAAGAAATGGGATGCTTTGGTTGATGAATGGTCAGCCTTCCATGAAGAAAACCGTTGATAGATGACGTCCTTCAACCAGGGAGCTCTCCCCCATGGCAGTGCTTTCTAGTGGACGCTCTTCATTGTAGAGATAGAAATTCTGCTAATAAGAAATTATTATAGGAGCTCCTGGGAGGCTCAGTGGGTTAAGTCTCTGCCTTCAGCTCAGGTCATGATCTCAGGGTCCTGGGATCAAGCCCCACATCAGGCTCTCTGCTCAGTGGGGAGCCTGCTTCCCTCTCTCTCTCTGCCTGCCTCTCTGCCTACTTGTGATCTCTCTCTGTGTCAAATAAATAAAATATTTTTTTTAAAAAAGAAATTATTATATATCTTTCCAGATTATTGCCTAATCCGCATTTCTGCCGGGAAAGGAGCACAGGGAAAAATGTCCTTTGAGGAAGAAGTTCTTAGAGGTGGCATTTAAATCAGGGGTCAGCACGCTACCACCCATGGGGCAAATCTTGCCTACCATGTATTTTTATAAAGTTTTATTGGTACACAGCCACATCCATTTGTCTACAGATTTTCTTTGGCTGCCTTCACACTACAACAGCAGAGCTGAATCGTTGCAAAAGAGACGATCTGGCCCAAAATGTCTAAACTATTATCTCTCCGGCCCTTTAGAAAAGAAAATTTTCCAACCCCTGATCTAGACAATCCAGGATCTCACCAGGAAGTTTTCTCATCACTCATTGAGGATCTTGACCCAAGTAAACCTGTAGGTTTCTTTCTATTGATATATCCAGAGAGGAGCGATTTTCTGTGGAAAAGCAGAGCACACCAGGAGTGGCTGAGACCCGGACAGATACATCATCCATTGAAGTGCTCACTTGCGGGACAGAGAGATAGTAGTTCAGGAGTGGCAAGCCCAAAGCCAACAGGTGCCAGGCAGGTAACATAAATTACAGGAGGCCAGGTGGGGGCTGTGGTCTGGAGAGCATGCACTCACCTTTGGGGCAGTTCCAGCTGGGGTGGCCTTGCAGGAATGTGGGCCCAGTGTTACCAGAACCTCAGGATTTTCAGGACCTCCTGGAAATTTGTTTTTGTGAAGTCCACTAATACTTAAATGGTGACAGCTGGTTAAAATTTAAAATAAAATAGGAGGAAAACCAATATAACACTGTACATTAACTACACTAAAATTAAAGTAAAATAAAAATAAAATCGGGCATCCGCACAAAAGCCAGCACATTAATTTCTCATTACCAACATTTAGAAGCAACTCAGGGGGGGGCGCCTGGGTGGCTCAGTGGATTAAAGCCTCTGCCTTCAGCTCAGGTCATGATCCCGGGGTCCTGGGATCGAGCCCCGCATCGGGCTCTTTGCTCAGCGGGGAGCCTGCTTCCTCCTCTCTCTCTGCCTGCCTCTCTGCCTACTTGTGATCTCTGTCAAATAAATAAATAAAATCTTTAAAAAAAAAAAAAAAGCAACTCAGGGTGTCCTTCAGTGGGTGAATGGATAAACCACAGTCCACCCTGTACCACGGAACATTTTTCAGCACTAAAAACAAATGAGTGATTAAGCCGCAAAAAGACATGGAGGAAACTTCGATGTATTTTCTAAGTGAAAGAAGCCAGTCTAAGAAGGTTATGTATTGTATGATTCCAATGATATGGCATTCTGGAAAAGACAAAACTATGGAGACAGTAGAAAGATCAGTGGTTGCCGGGGCTTGGACAGAGAGAGGGATGAACAGGCAGAGCACAGAGGGTTTTTGCCACAGGGATCCATTCTGGATAATACTATAATGGTGGATAACCGGGGCACCTGGGCGGCTCAGTGGGTAAGCCATTGCCTTCGCCTCAGGTCATGATCCCAGGGTCCTGGGATCAAGCCCCACATCGGGCTCTCTGCTCAGCAGAGAGCCTGTCCCCCCCCAGCCTGCCTGCCTCTCAGCCTACTTAGGATCTCTGTCTGTCAAATAAATAAAGTCTTTAAAAAGATAATACTAATAATGGTGGATAACCTGTCTATACGTGTGTCAAAACACATAGAGTGTACAACACCAGAGTGAACCCTAAGGTAAACTATGGAGTCTGGGTGGCAACAATGTGGCAAACATGGGATTACTGATTGTAACAGATGTGGCACCTTAACCACCTTGCCCATGAATGGAAGAGGAATGGGTGTCCCAGGAGAGAACCGAAGTATCATTACCAGAATGCAGGCAAGGAGGCAAAAGCAACAGACTTCCATGATACCCAGTTACCCAAGTTATCGAGGGCTTTTTCAGTTCCCTCTTCTCTACCCTATCCTGTGTCAGATAAGAAGATTCCAAAACACCAGGCAAGTCATTACAAAGATGCTCTCGTTTATAGTGAAGTACAAACAACTGAGATTCTCCATAAATATTGAGGACTGTTGATTGTAGACAGCTCTGTCTTAGTGGGAGTTTCCACACGAACAGATCAAAATGAGAGCAAAGTTCTAGAACTCGTGACAGTCATTAAATGCTTCACGTTTTAGGTAGGATGTAAGTGGAACAATTCTTTGGGCCGAAATCAAGTTTAGCATCTTACATTAAGAAGATTAATTAGCTAATGTTTATAAAGTACTGTGCAGATATGCCCTTTTAAAATGCTAAGTATTCTAAAAGCTACATTGTAGCATTTTACTAAATGTAAAAGATCTAACATTCATCATTTTTTTTTTTTTTTTTTGGTACAGGTTGGCAAAGATTCGTTTGGCAATGATTATATAGAAAACTTAAAACAGAACGATATTTCTACAGGTAAAATTGCATCTTTTTTAAAGTTACTTTTTATGACTTTCCCCTGGGATCTGGCTACAAGAACAGTTGAATATAGAATAGAATTATTAGATCCTCCTCTGGTGGCCAGAGAATTTTTATGCGCAGACTTGTCTTGTCTTACTTAAATGTCGTTTGGTTAATTCTTTCATGTATATTCCTCCAGATGGGAATAAAATGATAAGAGGTTACAAACCTTCCTTCATCTTGTAGAAATGTTTCCAAAAGCAGGTGACAAGAGAAAACAGGTGCTGCGTTCACAAAAGATATTTTAAGAAAAGTTATTGAATGTCACGGCTGGAAATGATCTTTGAAACCACTGAAGCTGATGCCATCGTTGCACAAAAGAGACACTGAAGGCCAGATTGGTTCTCAATGTGTCCAAGAGCACACAGCCAGTTGGAGCCAGAGGCAGGAGTAGAATGCAGGTCTTTGGCTCCATTTCAAGACTATTTTGCTGCTGCGAAAGGCCGCCTGATCAACATTGCCATTTACACTCCAGACCATGATTCTTGATGAGATGCAAAGCTTATGAAGAAATGCAACTGAGTTCATTGTATAGGTTTGACCTTTAATCTCTCAAGTCTATCATTTCTTTCACTGAAGAAAAGAAATGTGATGGTCTAGAAAAATGCACATGTATCCTCTATGAATAATGTGGATGAATTGGAAGGGGGGTTGTTCATAATGTAGAGCAAAGGTGCAACTAAGCGTAAAGGCTTCGGTCTTCCTCACTGTAGAGGTGATGGGTATAAATTAGCGCTAATTGCTTATTTCTTTTATCATTCCAGATGGTTAAAGGTTAAAAAGTTTTTCCAAAGATGAGTGGTGCATTGAAATCGCTAAAAGAGATTATCCATGCCAGGCTGTGTGTACATGATTGTAATTTCTTTTTTCTTTTAGAATTTGCATATCAGACTCAAGATGCTGCTACAGGAACTGCGTCTATAATTGTCAATAACGAAGGTACGTGTTTCGCATATTGAAGTGTCATTTCGTGAAGCAGTTCGTGTCCAGAACTAGAGCAGGAGCATCGATTTTTACCGTAATCCTATGGGTCTCTTACCATACCCACCGCCCCAAGGCCTCAAGTGTGGTCCTGCCCATCTAACTATGCATGTTTCCCTTTATGTGTACTTCCCAACTTGATCATTTAAATATAAAATTGGCCATCCAATACACGGAAAGTGTTACAGTTGCCTCCGAATAATATTTATATGGTGAAACGTCCCATTATCCTTCTTGTGAATACAGCTTTGGTATTTGTCTCTAAAAGCAGTTAAGTATTCATCTGTCATTTCACTTATACTAGGTAAATAAATGTAAGTAGATAGGTGCACAAAGAAGTTAATGAATCATATTTATAGAATATTTACTGAGCAAATGGCAGCAACTAATTACTTCTAAGTTAGCATTAGTGTTCAATTTTGTCTGCTCTTTAAATTGCAATCAACCTTCAAAAGTCTATATATACAACTATGTCTGTCTGTCACAGGGCCTTGCGACAGGTAAAACATTCATCTTGAAAAACAGTAACTTCCCTTTACCCTCCAGTAAACTTTTCATCATTTCTGCCAACTATTTTAAATATTAAAAAAAAAAATTTTTTTAAACCTATGTGAAATTCTTTAATTCAGAATTAAGAACCAAGCATTTCATGAGACACTTCAGACAGAACCTGGGGCATCGTGGGCAATCAGCATGCATTTTGTGGAATTATGATTTGTCAGAATATGTCTTTGATTTGTAATATAGTTTCATACAATCGTTTCTCACAGAAGATACAGTATTTTTAGCTCTGCTCTCGCGATCCCAAAGTGGCAATAACAACAATTAAAAAAATGTATTCCACTTAAAGCAGATTAAATTTTTCACTCTAACAATAGACCGTCTGTGTTCATTACTTAAAGCTACATTTTAAGTAATCATTGCCGCCAACAGCAGTTCATTCCCCGTCTTCAACCTTTTTTGTGTTCTAGGGATATCTTTGAGTTCCATTTCATCCTTACCAATGTTGCAAGAAACTACACTTTCCATGCAAAGATGTAGTTTAATGTTGTGTATTGAGTGCCTGTTACGCTAGAACTTGTCTGATTTATTTATCGCACATGGTAATACCCTTGAGACTATAGATTGTCCTAGAAGAGCTAACACAAATCCCCAGAGAGGGGACCATCGGCTCCCTTAAGTGAAGGAATGAGTAGCAAGGTAAAGTAAGGAGTTCAGTTTTGACAAGTTAAATTGGTGGCATGAATGGTCTTGCCATCTGGCCGTGTCTACCGGACAGCTGTCGTCAGTTCAGCCAGGCCAGAAACATAGATCCAGGAATCAGCAACACAGAAACACCAGTCGACTCTAGCAGAGAGAATGAGGTCACTGAAGGAGAAAAGGAAGGAGAAGGCTGTCTTTCAGTGTGTGGGTACTTTGAATTTTTCCAGTACCAAGATTGGGTTTATGCTAAACCATCCCCACTTTATTAAGTCCTCCTTGTGGCCAAGAGACACATCTGTGGTAAGATGATAGGCTAGCATGTGTTCTGTGTTCAGAGGTAATTTTAGGACATGTCTATACAAGATCAGCACGAGCAGCCTGGAGCACAAAAAAGAAATGACTGCTACAACTCGTCCCTCTAGATCAGAGCTGTCCAAAAGAAATATCATGCAAGCCACAGACATAATTTGAAATTTTCCATGAGCCGCATTTTAAAAAGTCAAAAGAAATAGGTAAAATTAATCTTAATATCCTCACTTAACCCGATATATCGAAAATATTCTTTTCAACATGTAATCAAAATGTTCCTAAAAACGAGTGAGATATTTTGTCTTCCTTATTTTTTTTTTTTTGTACTCAGTCTTTAAAATCTTCTATGTACTGGGATTATACACAACTAATGAATCATTGAACACCACCTCGAAAACTAATGATGTACTGAATGTTGGCTAAATGAACATAATAAAAAAAAATTTTTTTAAGATTTTATTTATTTATTTGACAGACAGAGATCACAAGTAGGCAGAGAGGCAGGCAGAGAGAGAGAGAGGAGGAAGCAGGCTCCCCGCTGAGCAGAGAGTCCAATGTGGGGCTTGATCCCAGGACCTGGGATCATGACCTGAGCCGAAGGCAGAGGCTTTAACCCACTGAGCCACCCAGGCGCCCCCACAAAATTTTTTTAATAAAAATAAAATCTGCTATGGATTACAATGGAAGCACATCTCAATTTAGACCAGACACATTTCAAGTGCTCAAGGGCCACATGTGGCTTGAGCTCATGACTCTCAAATGGGACAGCACAGCTCCTAAAAGTTCACCTCACAGATAAAATGTACCCCCACTTCTTCCCCCATTTAGGTGGGACTTTCGAGAGTGGGTCCAAGTAAAGAGTGTTTAAGATTCTTACTTCTGCTTCTGTTTGTTTTTTTTTTAAGATTTTATTTATTTGACAGACAGAGATCACAAGTAGGCAGAGAGGCAGGCAGAGAGAGAAAGGAGGAAGCAGGCTCCCTGCTGAGCAGAGAGCCCGATGCGGGACTCGATCCCAGGACCCTGGGATCATGACCTGAGCCGAAGGCAGAGGCTTTAACCCACTGAGCCACCCAGGTGCCCCAAGAAATAGACTTTTATATACATACAATGGCATATTATTCAGCCATAAAAAAGAACAAAATCTTGCCATTGGCAACAACATGGATGGAGCCAGAGAGTATCATGCTAAGGGAAATAAGTCAGTCAGAGAAAGACAGAGATACCTCATGATTTCACTCGTATGTGGAATTTAAGAAACATAAAAATAAAATAAAGGGAAAAAAAGAAAGACAAAACAAGAAATAGCCTTTCTTAAAAAAAGATTTTATTTACTTATTTGACACAGAGAGAGAGCGATCACAAGTAGGCAGAGAGGCAGGCAGAGAGAGAGGGGGAAGCAGGCTCCCCGCTGAGCAGAGAGCCCGATACGGGACTCAATCCCAGGACCCTGGGATCATGACCTGAGCCGAAGGCAGAGGCTTTAACCCACTGAGCCACTCAGGCGCCCCTTCTGCCTCTGTTTGATCTGATGCAGCCTAAATCAAATATCCCTCTCTCGACCTTAGGTGATCTGGCACAATTCCCATCTGTTACATATTACAAAACATGTTTTGATTTTCAGAATATCCTAGGTGCACACGCGAACTGACTGCGTACCACAGAGCCTTGGTTTTCAGTGTTGGGCAAGTTTACTCCTGTTCATAGACATCATTATGACATCTGTCATTTCGGATTTGGAATCTTTACCACACGCTTTGTACCCATCATTTTTAACTGTTAGGTATCACCTTCCAGCTAGTTTTCTTTGTATATAAGAATATTGATAGGGGAATTTTTTTTTATTTTACTCAAAACGATGACAATAATATTAATCTTACAGAGCAGGGATCCACAAAGATACAGCGGAAAACTAGAATTTCACCTGAATCACCTAGAAATGTCAAAATTAATACTTGTAACACATTTAGTATAATGACCTTGTAAGGGTGATTGTAATATTGCAGAATATCATTGCTTGGTTTTTAATATAATTATGCGGAAATTCTTTATAGGCCAGAACATCATTGTTATAGTGGCTGGAGCCAATTTACTTTTGAATACCGAAGACCTGAAGAAAGCAGCCAGGACCATTAGCAGAGCCAAAGTAATGATCTGCCAGTTAGAAATAACTCCAGAAACGTCTTTGGAAGCCCTGATGATGGCCCACAGCAATGGAGGTGATTTTCCGTATTTGTTATTCTTCCTAGAAAAGCTTTTGTCGCTGTTTTAGGGAAAGGTAGTCTTTCAAATTAAGCAAAGCAGTCCTTTCCCTGGAGTGAAAGATGCTTTCTTCCACCCGTGAGATTCACAGTCTTCTCATAGTTCTTGATAGTGTTAGAAGGGCATACAGATAGGGTAAAAAGTAACCTGAGTAGCACTACTGATATCCCATGATATAAATCCTCAATCTAATTAGAAATAATACAAGTAGCGACTAGAACCTCAGAAGCAGCCCAGGGCCCAACAGCAGAATGGTGGCTTTTCCAAGAAGCAGAGGCGAAGGTGCACGTCATGTATCGTGACCAGACAGGTGGGTGTATTTTGACAAATGTCTCTAGGAATTGAAGCTTAGCTCTTTCTCCATTTTCTAAAACTCCATCTCTGCTCTATAAACCACAAAAGATTATTTATATGTAGTATTTTCTATGTTGTCAGTGGCCTTTAAGCAGGGAGTTGGTTTTGTTTGACCTTCAATTTTGGAAATTTTCAAATATACAAAGGCGGGCAGAATTGCACAGTGAAACCCTTCACCCAGCATCAACAATTAACCAGCACGTGGCTAAGGTTGATTCATCTGTCCTCCCACTTACTGCCCCCCTTTCTCCCCCTGCAAATCACAAACTCTTTAAAAAATCCAAATAGTTTCTTTGTGTTTGTTTCTTGCTCACCATTGACTTGTGGGCAAAGCATCTTCTGAGTTAGAATCCCATTTCCGTTCCTTTTTAGCTTTGTGGTCTCTCCAGAATTATCCGACGTTTCTGAGCCTTGTTTGTGAAATGCTTATAGAAGAAATACTCCCCTGCAGAATTGTTCTTCTAAGAAGGAAACAAAATAAAATAAAACATGATGCTGAGCATGACATAATAAAATAAAATCTCAATAAATCCCAAATAGCTTCTCCTTTTCACTTCTCTCTTTAAATTTAAAAATTAGGGTAATATCCAGATCTCAACACCATTTGGTCAAAAAAAAAAAAAAAATCAAAATAGAAAGTCGCCACTCTAAAACAATGGCTTCCTTATGATATTGCAACCATAGTTCTGTGACTTACGAGAACCTCTTTGACTTTTCCACATGAAACTTTCTCATCAAGATACAAAACTAAGAGAAGGGAAGAAAAAGAACAGTAAGAGTGTGTGTGTGTGTGTGTGTGTGTGTGTGTGTGTGTGTGTGTGTTTGTATAAGTCACTACTCCCAAAGTCGACAGCATTCTGCATAGCAATGAAAGTAAGTTACTTGAAATGATTTTGTAGAGAATCTTTAAATGTATGGCCAGATTTAACAAATTTTCCTCTTGGCAAAACAACGTGCTGTGGCAAAATTCTCACTGACATTTAATGTATTTTTAATGGACTTGAAGCTGTCAGAAAGAATTCGAAGCCAAAACCCATTTGGTTACATTTTCCCAGGGTGTCACAGAGAGAGCCTAATGCTTCTGGTAAGCGTTGCCTGCACTGCCTTCATGTGAATCAAGCAATGTGGATACAACACGCCACTTCATTCACACTCCTGTCTTGCTTTCTGTAGGTCAAGGCATATTCTCATCTAACTCCATTTCCTACTCTCGCTCGCTTCTCAGAGATCACTGTTGCCTCTGTACTAGTCTAGTTCCTTGTTAGCTACCCAGCCTGTGGAGGAGAGAAAGGTACGGCCACCCGGTTGAGGATCTAACCTGCCACAGGTGACGCTGGAGTTATCCAGAGGGGCAGATGACCTCGGGCTGTCATTTGGGTGGGCAGCTGGAGGACCTGGGGCATCAGGAACCGGCAGGGGTATGGGGCACCTGGATGGCCCAGGTCTGGATCTCAGAGTCGTGAATTCAAGCCCTGCATTTAAAGGCGGGGGGCGGTGCAGGTAGGGAGGGAACGGGCAGGGGTAGTGATGGTAAGCCAAAGAGCACTAGCTGACTTCACATTTTTACTAAGAGCCAGCATGTCTGAGTATGAATTCCATGCACTCTCATATGTACCTGACCCTCAGAAAAACCTCATGACAAAGATACGGCAGGCATTATTCTCCCGAACGGAAGGCAGGAAGATAGACTTGGAGAGTAAGTAATTAGCTCAACCAGGGTCAGTGTAGAAACCCAGATTTCAGAGGCCAAGACCCAACTTCTGTGTTCTAGAATGCACTTTAAATAAAGAAAGTGCCCCATCCCATTGACTCCAAGGAACTGAGCCTTCATGGAGAAAAATAAAATCCACGAACTGTAACCTTGTTCAACATGTGGCCTCAGCTTTGAGTGTTTTCGATACTCTCGAGTGCTTCCTACGATGTGTCCCTTACCCGCTCCCATAAAACACTCGCACACATACGCACACACACAAACATACTCTGCTGACTAGAACTCAGCTGGTCCTCCCTTGGTAGTAACCAGCCAGAAGCAGCTTAGATTCTATACCATGAGAGAGTGTGTGTGTGTGTGTGTGTGTGTGTGTGTGTGTGTGTGAATTTACTGTGTTTTCATTCTCACGTCAGGAAAGAGTGATACCGTGAAGGGAGCACTGGTTTGAGAGTCATGAAGTTTGGCTTTGAATCCAGAATCCATCCCTTAGTAAATGGGGGACCACACGCAAGTCAGTCAGTTCTTCGCTCTGGGCCTCTGTGAAACAGGAGAACGGGTCTGCAAGCTCTCCCAGCTGCTTCCTGTCAGGATGTATGAACGGACTGATTACAGAGCAGAGCCGGCAATGCTGAGAGACGTGTTGGGCACTGCGTGGCCTGTCCACTGCCCCGTGAGACTGCCTGTGTGCTAATCAGCAGTATTCCATCTATGAGAAAAGTGGTAAAATCCTCCTCCTCCTCCTCCTCCTTTTCCTTCCCCTCCACCACTGTGGGTCTGTTATCAAAGCTCTGTCCTTCTTACAAGTAATGAACTCTGAGTTAAACACATTGTATGACTGGATTATATATAGTTGCTAAAATACAGAGGGAAGAGGAACCTCCCCCACACCCCGCTCCATCTTTGATCATATGGTTTCAGAACACTCTGTTGTCTTCACCTAAAGGAAAGCATTGGTTTTAAACGGACAGCCCCTGCAACACCAGAGATGAACCAGTGGCCCTCGATGGCCCCCTCCTCTCTGGGTCATGATGCTTCGAGGCAGGCCCCCAGCAGGGCTGCTGCTGCAGCTGCCTGTGATGAAATTATGCATGTCGGGTCTGGTCTTTCTATCCATTTCAAAGCAAATGGAACATTACAGGAACAATTATAAATAATTGAGATTGTAAGATCGCCAAGATTAAATTCTGGGTAGGACACAAAATATCTTTTAATGACACTGTAGTCCTTTCCTCTTTGGCAAAACCAAACTTCTTGGCTGGACACCTTGACTTTCACGGTGACGTTGTCCAGCACATAGCCCAAGCTGAGTGTTTCTGCTGCTCCTCAACTCACAGAAAACAACCCCTTGAGGGAGACCGCCAAGGCGGCATTTTGGTTACCCCAACCTTCCCACAGCTTCTTTACTTAGGGTGACTTTCTTCCTGTTTCTCTGAGCTAGTTATTAAGAGCCTTCTTAACTGACCTGCTCCTGCCCTCCATGGTGACACCATTATGAGCTTCCACCTCATTTTCCTGCCTCGTAACTTGCGCAGCTGCCCTCATAGGCTTCCCCAGATCCTCACTGACAGTGTGCCATTGAGACAACCAGGAGTTTAGTCCATCTGATGTTATCATGAACAATGATTACGTCGGGTGCCACCCGTCACTCTGCAGCTCCAAGTTACTCCATGGTACAACTTGTGTCTCTATTTTTAGATGATTCCAGAATGATACCATTTTTCCCACTGTATCTATCACAAATGTGCACTTTTCTTTTTTTAAGATTTTATTTATTTATTTGAGAGAAAGAGAGAGAGAGAGAGAGCCAGGGGAGGGTTAGAGGGAGAAAATCCCATGCAGACTGTGCTGAACAAGGAGCCCGTCATGGGGCCTGATCTCATGACTCTGAGATCATGACCTGAGCTGAAATCAAGAGTGGGACACTTAACTGACTAAGCCACCCAGGCACCCCAATCATACTTCCAATGCATTCTTCTTTGATTAGCAACATCTACTCATTCTTCGCATTTTTTTCACCAGGGTAAAGTGTTTATGCTTATTTATGGTAGCAGGAGCTGAAGAAGAGTCATTTTTTTTTTAAAGATTTTATTTATTTATTTGACAGAGAGAAATCACAAGTAGGCAGAGAGGCAGGCAGAGAGAGAGGAGGAAGCAGGCTCCCCGCCGAGCAGAAAGCCCGACGCGGGGCTCGAACCCAGGACCTGGGATCATGACCCGAGCCGAAGGCAGCGGCCTAACCCACTGAGCCACCCAGGCACCCCAGAAGAGTCATTTCTTTATGGCATTTTCATTTTCCCCCTAAATTTAGTTACTAGTCATTCTAAGCCTGTTACTGTCCAGCATTGGTCAGAATGCTTTCCTTCAACAAAATACACGCAAAGATTTGGTTGTTTTTTATACAATGTTTATGGTCAAATTAAATTGTAGGATTTCTCATTCCAGCAACCCTTCTTATTGCTTAAAATTCAGTGTAACTGTTTCTTTAAAATGTGTTTATTTTATTTTATTTATTTTATTTTTTTTAAGATTTTATTTATTTATTTGACAGGCAAAGATCACAAGTAGGCAGAGAGGCAGGCAGAGAGAGAGAGAGGCGGAAGCAGGCTCCCTGCTGAGCAGAGAGCCCGATGCAGGGCTCAATCCCAGGACCCTGGGATCATGACCTGAGCCGAAGGCAGAGGCTTTAACCCACTGAGCCACCCAGGCGCCCCAAAATGTTTTTTTTTTAAGATTTTATTTATTTATTTGACAGAGCGATCACAAGTAGACAGAGAGGGGGAAGCAGGCTCCCCGCTGAGCAGAGAGCGCGATGCGGGGCTCGATCCCAGGACCCTGAGATCATGACCTGAGCCAAAGGCAGAGGCTTAACCCACTGAGCCACCCAGGTGCCCTAAAATGTGCTTTTATTGAGGAAAATTTCAAATATATATGGACATACAGAGAACAATATGGTAAGCCCATATATACCATCATCTAGCCTCAACAATTCTCAACATGTGCCCAATCCAGTAGCATTTACACCCCAACGCACTATTCCCCACCCCCCCACCACTGCAACCTTGGGTTATATTTGGAAGCACCAGCCAGACATTATATCATGTCATTCACAGTGCGCTTGGGTTTTGATGTAAGATACTGTATGTGTTTTATGAATGCTGTCTTTGCCTGGTGTATACCAGGGAATCTCTGGGCAGACTGATTCCCACCACCCTTTGGAACTAATCCCTTATTAGTTTAGGGAGTAATCTCTCACACTTTTTTCTCTTCTATGCAAGTGTATAAATACAAATACACATATAATTATGCTTTGTTTCATTAGAAAAAAGAGGGGGTCATGCTGTAGATTTTATTACAAAACTTCCTTTTTTCACTTACAAATTATAGAAATCTTTCTGTAACAAAACAGAGATCTGCTTCATTCTTTCTAACCACAGCAGATTATTCCATTAGAGGTTTGGTTTTTTTTTTTCCTAACCAGTCCTGTCTGTTGGAAGCTTAGGTTTCTTTTTGTTTTTTGTTTTTTTTTTCTGTTAAAAACAGAGCTGAATATCACTGGACCTCATCTTTGCATGCCTGTGTATGTCTGTAGGATAGGTTTGGAAAAGAAATTGCTGGATCAGGGATCTTTTGAGATAAAATGGAACTTTTATAAGAATGGCTCAATGCTGGGGCGCCTGGGTGGCTCAGTCGGTTTAGTGGCTGCCTTTGGCTCAGGTCATGATCCCAGGGCCTTGGAACAAGCTCCATATCCAGCTCTCTGCTCAGCAGGGATCCCCTCCAACCCCGGCTCATGCTCGCTCTCTCTCTCTCTCTCTCTCTCAAATAAATAAATAAAATCTTTAAAAAAAAAAAAAAAGAATAGCTTAATGCTGCTTTTCCATACTGGTAGCTTGCTCTACCCTGTGCCCAAATGCCTTTGCATACAGATTTGGAGATCACAATACATGACAGTGCTTTTTCAGTTCACCATTTGAAGAAAATAGGAAGCAGTGTATTTGTCCTGGAACCATAAAAAGTAAATGGGGGTGTTGCATTACTGGGCATTGAGGGCCTTTATGCAAAATTGACATCTCTAAGACCTTACAGAAGTGGGAACACCCATGAGAGACTGTTGCCAGGCTACGAATTCCAACAGAAGACAAAAGAGATGGGTGGACAGGCGGGGGTGTCGGGCTGTGTGTGAAGGACAATATAATAACAGTAATAATCCCTTACATTTGTACAACACTCTACAGTTTACACAGGGCTTTCATACCCGTTTTCTAATTTAAGCTACGCAGTAACCTGTACAAAAATATGAGCAGCCAAAAATATACCGTAGAATCTCTGTGGGTGGACATTCTGGATTCTAAAATAATGCAAATGTGGGAATTGCGTTAGCCTGTAAACCACTGGACAAGATCCACTGACCAAACCAAAATGTGAAGGCCAAGGAAGGTGTGGAGGGAAACTAGCCTCATCAGGCAGAAGTACTGGGCAGTTTCCATCAGCCGTGCTGATGAGTGTCTCCCCAAGAACGTGGAAGAGGGGGGCACCTGGGTGGCTCAGGGGGTTAAGCCTCTGCCTTCAGCTCAGGTCATAATCTCAGGGTCCTGGGATGGAGTCCCATATCAGGCTCTCTGCTCCGCAGGGAGCCTACTTCCTCCTCTCTCTCTCTCTCTGCTTGCCTCTCTGCCCACTTGTGATCTCTCTCTGTCAAATAAATAAAATCTTAAAAAAAAAAAAAAAAGCAAGAATGAGAAAGAATGTGGAAGAGCCACTGAGGGAACTCATCCGTGCACATGTTCCCCAAGAGATTCTGATCACTGGGTTTGAGGTGGAGCCCAAAAGTCATGCACTCTAACAAGCCCCCTTAGTGATGCTGGTGTGCAGCTCAGCTTGGGAGCCACTGTTCTAGAAGGGTCTCTGAGACCTGCAACTGAAAGATTTGACTCTATGGGTCAGTAGTAGGTTGGGGTCACTAAACACCTAAGTCAGTGGACCTGGGTAGAGGAAAAGAAGACCAACCAATCTAGTTGGGTTCCCTGGCGGATTAGCATTTTGACAAAGGGGGAGCTTCCTGTGTGTGGAATCTCTAAAGACTTTCAAAGAAATATGTATTTACAAAATTTCACCCCAAAGCCTGTTTCAAAATATTGTAAATCGGGATGGGGCTTGTGCTGCCATGAAGAGAGTCCTGGCCTAGAGAGATCAGTCGATCGAACACTGGGCTTAAAGCTGGAGGACCCCAGATGGGGGCCCAGCTTAACCATGTCCCAGCATATGACCTTAGACCTCATCTCTCTGAAACTCACTTTTCTCCTCTGAAAAATGTAAAAGTTCTTCTGACACTGTAATGCTGTGACATTCTCATTTTCCCTGTGTCTGCTATCCCCATCCATCTCCTTCTCTTGTAGGCTCCTAGTATGAGCTAGCTCTCAGCTTTGGATTGAATTTCTGCTCCTTTCTTGGGCTTTCCTTTATACTCCCAGATTGCCAAGAACATAAGCTTCTATGAAAAGTGTATGTTCAGAGCACCTGGCTGGTTCAGTTGGTGGACCATGCGACTCCTGATCTCAGGATTGTGGGTTTGGGTCACACCTTCGGTGTAGAGATGACTTAAAAATAAAATCTTTTTTAAAAAGTCTATGTTTGCATGAGTAATCGTGATATATTTGGAAGTCATGCATAGGTGTTCAAAACCTACATATGTACATGAACTTCCTACGTCCTGTTCTTACCAAGAAATTTTTTACTTCTTCATTATTTCTTTCCTAACATCGCTCTTTTTCTTTCCTGGAAAATGGATATATGAACAAAAACATTCACACCAGCCTGAATGTTCACATTCATACATGTCCTTTCACGCCACAGCATTTAAAATTTTCTTTAATGTTGTTGCCCTTTGCCATAACTTTGTGATCACCTTGCTTGTAATGCTCTCGCTTGCCCTTGAAGTTGAAATGTTGTAAAGTGAAAAATGGAGGAAATACAAAAAAGAAGGGGTTGGTACTAGGTCGCCGTGGAAATTGAGATTCCAGACTTTTCTAAGTTGATTGTTCATCTAATGGGGAAAATGGCTGCACAGGGGATTTCCCTTACTGACTGTAAGTGCACCATGTTAAAAATGATGACCACTGGGGTGCCTGGGTGGCTCAGTGGGTTAAAGCCTCTGCCTTCGGCTCAGGTCATGATCCCAGGGTCCTGGGATTGAGCCCCGCGTCAGGCTTTCTGCTCGGCAGGGAGACTGCTTCCTCCTCTCTCTCTGCCTGCCTCTCTGCCTACTTGTGATCTCTGTCAAATGAATAAATAAAATCTTTAAAAAAAAATGATGACCACTGAACCCCCTTTCTGTTCCTCTACAGTGAAAACATTGTTCAACCCAGCTCCGGCGGTTGCTGACCTGGACCCTCGCTTCTACACCCTCTCAGATGTGTTCTGCTGCAACGAAACTGAGGTAAGGACGGAACGTTTTGCTCAGTCCATGAGAAGCCAAGGGCTTTCATGCAAATGGATAAAGCAAAGAGGCAAGGCTAACCATGTCAGTTTGATCACATGTAAATTCTTGGACCCAGTGAAAACAATTTTCACTACCTAGGATGTGGAAAAAGGAAATTAGTGACTCCTAGGGGGAAAACAAAAAGTATATCTGAGTCATCTCCATAATCTGTTACTTATTAAAAACCTCAGCTAATTCTAGTCCCCTCCCTGCCTTCACGCTGTTGGTGGTTTGTTTTCTTCTTTAATTCTATATTCTATGGATTGATTAGCAGTAGAGTTGCTAGATTTAGCAAATAAAAACACAGGTGCCCAGTTAAATGTGAATTTCAGATATACAACAAATAATATATTAAATGTACTTCTAGTATGAAATGACTTGTTATTTATCTGAAATTCAAATTCAGTGGGTCCAACAACCCTAAGTAATATACAACCCCTGGAGCATTTGCTGCCTTCTCCTTTGAAGACCCAGTGGCCACGGGATGGACAGACAAAGTTGCTCCACTGATGCCACAGGAAGGACCTCAGGGGCCCCTCTGTTAGGAGAAGGCCCTCTCCGTCATAATGGTCATAATGGACATAGGTCATAATGGACAGAGCTGCATAAGATATCTGCCAACACATTCAGACTATGCCATTCATTCTGGAGCATTTTAGGAAGAAAATTTCAGTATCTCTCCCTTCCTTGGACAGACAGTTTTAGACCAGAGCTCACTTTCAACACTGGGAGGCAGGACATACGATACAATGCAACATGCAGAGAGTGAGAGTTAGTAGTGAAAGAACGATAATAGTAATTGTCATGTGGTTCAGAGGCTGAATGGATGTTTCCAGGATTTCCTGACCTGCCCTTTTGCTAATTGTATCTCTCAGGACATGAAGTAAACAAAAAAGAAGACTGCCACAAGGAAACTAAGTTTAACAAATCACAATAGGTTATGCAATATTTTGGAGCAACCATCATGGCCAGGCCTTGTGCTAGGAGAAAGGGATTGTGGGAAATAGTTACCATTTCCCAGTAAGAAGTTCGACTACCCTCCATTGCCAACTGGCTTGGATTTGTCTGCTACATATTTGCAGAGCCTATATTTATTCTTCAAACACTCATCACTGTTCCGATTATTTATTACTTTGAAGTCACACAATATCCCTTCTGGTCCATTCTATTGATTGAGGGAGGAAAGTCTGCCCTCACGCCCCACCTCTCCATAGAAGATTGTCCTTGTCACGGTGTGAAAAGAGCATATATGATGTGATATGTATTGATAGAGTTATCTTTGGAAATTACCATCTGTTATATTGTACTTGCATATAATTGGCATCTAGTAAATGCTTTTTCAGTGAGTGAACAAATGAACAAACTTTGGTCTTCAAGAAAATTGATCTCAAACACTCAATGGAAAAAAGAAAAACTTTAAAAGCTTAATGCTCTTATGGATGACTTCTAATCATGATAATAACATAAATTCATACTTTAAGTTACTCCATCTGGGGACATCTGGGTGGCTGACTTGGTTAGGCATCTGATGCTTGATTTTGGCTCAGGTCATGTCAGGGTCCTGAGATCGAGCCCAGCATCGGGCTCTGTGCTAGGCATGGAGCCTGCTTAAGATTCTCTCTCCCTCTCCCTTTCCCCATCCCACTGTTCTCTTTCTCAAAAAAAAAAAAAAAAAAAAGAATGAAAAAAGAAAGAAAAAACTCTACTCCACACATGAACTGTTAACATATAAATATACAAGAGACAATGAAAAGATACAAGCTCAGAACCTGGATAACTCCACAGATCAGAAAGGGAAGAGAATCCTAGAGTGTTCAGCCCTGAGTGTGCTAGAAGTAGGTGTAGGTGGTAAGGACCTCCAGTGGGTCATGGGCACGAAAAATGTGCCCCAATGGGAGACTGGAGCAGTGCCCACCGCTGGGACCCGAGATGCTAGATCCCGGCTAAAGTAGAGGAATCTGCTAGGCCTGCTACCTGGAACTACAGCATTGTGCAAAGCTACCAAGCTGAGGGGACAGGAGGACAGAGGTACTGCCTGTGATCAGAAAGAAATTAAGCCAACTGCTAACTTGGTAACCGGGAATGTGACCAGATTGGCAACATCACCAAGAACAGCAGAACAAGAACTCCATATTGCCAACATAACACCTACCTGGCTCTGGTTTAGAGACCCTTGAGGGGCTGGTGGATGCAACTGTGAGCCCACTGGAAAGGCAGGGATAAGCCTAGTGGGAGCTGAAGTATGGGATTCCCCAACCCACAGACAGCAACATGAGCCTGCAGATGAAGAAACATAATGCTCAAGAGTTATCCAACAATTCAAATACTGAAACAATGCCCAAAAAAGACTTTAAATACGACTGAGATTCTCATTCATTAAAAAAGGAGAAAGTTAAGTGTGAAAGAGACACAGGATCGAAGCAATGATATGTGAATCTGAAAAGCAGTTAGATATCTTGAAAATGAAAAAAAACACCTTTGAAATTTTTCTATAAAACACTCATGAGGAAGATAAACATTAGACCGGAAGGAAGAATTGGTGAATTGAAAGAGAATTCATCAATTCACAAACAAGGGAAAAACTCAATTCACCAAGAAAGTATCACAGAAAGAACTTTTTTTAAATAATAAGGAGGAATTTGGAGAAATGAAATATTGCCAGAGCAGCTCTAACATACACCTAATTGGAGTGAAAGAAGAAGAGAAAGGAGGGAACTGGAGAGAAGCGATATTAGAGGAAATACTGCAAGGTATTGTCTGGAGCTGAAGAAGGGCATGAGTCATCAGATGAAAAGTGTATTAAAAGTAACACGTGGGACGCCTGGGTGGCTCAGTCAGTTGGGTGCCCGACTCTTGATTTGGGCTCAGGTCATGATCTCAGGATCGTGGGATCGAGCCCCATGTCAGGCTCCACACTCAGCGCAGAATCTGTTTGTCCTTCTCCCTCTGCTCCTCCCCCTGCTTATGCTCTCTCTCACTTCCTCTCACTCTCAAATAAATAAATAAAATCTTAAAAAAAAATCACCTGATCATGATCTCAGGATCCTGGGATCGAGCCCCGCATCAGGCTCTCTGCTCAGCAGGGAGCCTGCTTCCTCCTCCCTCTCTGTCTGCCTCTCTGCCTGCTTGTGATCTCTCTCTGTCAGATAAATAAATAAAATCTTTAAAAAAAAAATCACCTGAGATAAATGGATATAACTCTATAGTAACATACATTTTAATGGAACTGCATAAAATGAAACAAAGACAAAAATATTGGGGCCCCTGGGTGGGTCAGTTGTGAAATGGCTGCCTTCGGCTCAGGTCATGATCCCGGGGTACTGGGATCGAGCCCCGCATCGGGCTCCTTGTTCACCAGGAGGCCTGCTTTTCCCTCTCCCACTCCCCCTGCTTGTGTTCCCTCTCTTGCTGTGTCTCTCTCTGTGTCAAATAAATAAATAAAATATTTTTTTTTAAAAAGGGACAAAAATAAATAAAATATTTTTTTTTAAAAGGGACAAAAATATTTTTAAATGGCCAGAGGGAAAAAAAGACAGATTACATATAAGTACTAAGACTATCCAATACTTCATTGCTTGCAAAAGGGGAAAATGGAAAAATTGGTATCCATAAAAAGGATAATAGATTTTTTAACCTGTAGTATATTTCCAATATATTCATAGTGAGTGGTATACTGTCCAGTTCGACAGAATAGAGCCACAAATATCAATGCAAGTGAAATTATATGAAGGGAAGAAGCACACTGTCAAATAATATATATGAAAAACATAATTTACCTTCTTTAAAGAGAAATATCTGAAGTAAATAAAGTAACACATGAAGATTTATTAAAAGTGAGTGGTAGGTTCATGGCTGTTTGTTGCATTATTTTTTATGTTCAGGATCCTTTCATCAAAGAATAGTTTTTTAACAGGTTTTTAGAAACCACAAGAATACAGTGTTTCTGAAAATAGACCATCTAACCCCATAGATGTATGTGATCTCAGTAATGAAGATGAGTGGAAAAACTTATGAAAAGAAAACAGAAGGGGTGCCTGGGCGGCTCGTTCAGCATCTGCCTTGACTCAGGGATCGAGCCCCACATTCGGTTCCTTGCTCGGCGGGAAACCTGCTTCTCCCTCTCCCACTCCGGCTGCCTGTGTTCCTGCTCTCGCTATCTCTTTCTCTGTCAAATAAATAAATACAATCTTTTTAAAAAAAAGAGAGAGAGAGAGAAGAGAAAGTAAAGAAAACAGAAGGTGGCCTCAAGACATAGCCATCTCGGACAGAAAGGGTCTGCGGAAAAGCCGCTTCAGGAAGGACACATGGTCAAGTGAATGAAACCTTTGCTGCTGGGGAAGACCAAAGCCCAGAACGAGTAGACACTGCGGGGTGATGTATAGGCCCCAGGCAGGGTTAATCCGGACAGGTTCAGAGCAGGCACAGGAGAAACAGACCCTTTCTTAGGAAGAAATGGAATACAGAAAAGACAGAATTTAGTTATAAATTTTGTGAGTCCAAAAGTATCCTATAATTCATCTAGTCTAGTAATTTTGCAGCCACTAATTTCAGAGCCGGAGAAGGTCCCCAGAGGTGCCTAGGGGATGAGGAAGCGGGGCTGCAGTCCTTCCCCCCTACTTCGGCCAGAGCCCTTCTCACGCTCTCGGAGAGAACTGTGGCCCTGTGCGGGCCCCTCATTCTACAGACTGTACATGACTTGGGGGAAGTCCCAGGGTCAGTAAGCAGTGGACATCTCCTGAATGTCAGCACGTTGCGCTCTCGGCTACATCAGTGACCCTCCTACCCGCTTCCATCTTCTTGAGCAAAAACAGACATAAGAAATGGATGTTGTACAAACATGGGAAGCCGTAGCTAAGTAATAAGAGAAAGGCATTATGGCCCAAGAGGGGCCTAGAAGAATTACAGCCTTAGGTGTGAAATTTACAGGCTTGATTTCTATCAAAATCACTGGCAGCGGCCCCTCCCTTTCTCCCATCTTCTCTCCCCTCTTCCTTTCTCCTGTAGAATCCTTTGTTCCCTCTCTTTTTTTTTTTTAACTATTTTTTTTTAAGATTTTATTTATTTATTTGTCAGAGAGAGGGAGAGAGAGAGCGAGCACTGGCAGGCAGAGGCAGAGGGAGAAGCAGGCTCCCCACAGAACAAGGAGCCCGATGCGGGACTCGATCCCAGGACGCTGGGCTCATGACCTGAGCCGAAGGCAGCTGCCCAACCAACTGAGCCACCCAGGCGTCCCCCCTCTAACTCTTTTTGATGAAAATTATCACACATACACACAGAAAATCTGGAAGAACAGTCAATGAACCATCATCTACTGTCCGCCCAGATGGTTGTTGACATTTGCTATGTTGCTTCCTCTCTCCCCTGTGTGTGTTGCTTTTTGTTTTTGTTGAATCGTTTCAAAGTTGCAGGTAACATGATAGGTGACTCCTAACTACTTCAGTGCGCATCTTCTAAGAGGAGCCACAATACAGTGATCACACTTGAGAAAGTAGTAACAATTCTCTATTGTCATCTAACATCCAGGCCACATTCGAATGTCCCCAGTTGTCCCAAGAATGTCCTTGAGAGCTCCTTTTTGTTGTCATTGTTACTGGGGTTTTTCTTTCTTTCCCTGAGCCAGTAAGCATCAGCGTTCCCCCTGGCATGGGTTGTTATGCAGAAGAAGGGAGATGGTTTCTAGGAAAAGCAAATCTAATCTGGAAGTGGACCCAGGTCCCTGTTCTCACCACTGTTTGCTCTCACTTGTCTGTATCCCAGGCTGAGATCCTAACTGGCCTGAAGGTCCACAGCCCTGCAGACGCCTCGCGGGCCGCTCAGTTGCTCAAGGGAAGGGGCTGCCGCGTGGTCATCGTCACCTTAGGCGCTGAAGGGTGTGTGACGCTGTCAGAGACAGAACCCACGCCAAAGCACATTCCCACCGAGAAAGTCAAGGCTGTGGATACCACGGTAGGTTTGAAAATTTCAGAATCATTTCTGCCCCCTTGAACGTCATCATTGAGTAACAAAGATCCTGCACCTGAATTTTTGGATCATGGGGTAAGAGCCCGAGGAGGTGATATGGTAGAAGAGAAGAAAACCCAGGCTGGGGGACTAGATCTTAATCCTTCCCTAACAGGCCAGAAGACTTTATCCAAGTCACTTAACCTCTCTGAGCCGCAGTTTCCTCATCCATAGGTGAAAGTAGCATTATACCTGTATTACCTGTATTCATTCATTGATTCATTCAGGAAATATGTACCAAATCCCTGTTGTGTGCCGGTCATCTGTTAGGTGCTGGGGCTATAGCGATGAACAAGACAAAGTCTCTGTCTCATGGGGCTTAGACTGTGGATGCTGTAGCAATTCCTGGTTCTTACAAGGCTCTCGTAAGAGCAAGGAGCGCTGGCTGGCAGAACTCATTCTTTTAGCCACAAATAACAGCTAACGTTTACTATGTGCTGACTATGTCTCTTTTGCATACATCTCATATAATCTTTACAATGGTTATAAGAGGCAGGTTACTCTCCTCGCTTTACAGATTTAGAAACCTGCTCAGGACCATAATGCTAGGACATAACAGCGCTGGGGGTTCAAAACTCAGCCCGTGGACGCCAGACACTTCTTATGTAAGACACCGCGTTAAGGACAAGCAGGTTAAGTAGACAAGTCACAGCCCAGAATGAGGTGGAAAGAAAAAAAGTTAGGAAAAAAAGCTCAGGGCTCCTCTAAAACTGGGAAACCAAAAATTATTTGCTTGTGGCCTAGAATTGAGAAGAGCCAGGGGTCTGCCAGGGAGGCTCGGTCAGTGAAGCCGCTGACTCTTGATCTCAGCTCAGGTCTCGATCTCAGGGTCATGAGTTCAAGCCCCACGTTGGGCTCCACACTGGGTGTGGAGCCTACTTAAAAATTATTTTAAAAAGAGAGAAGAGCTGACTAGCAAAATAAGTAAATGTCAGGGACCCAAAACCAGAGTTGAAGAAAAATAAACATTTTAGGGCTCTTATGTGTAAGAAATTAATATGTAATTATTTATAAAATATATTTTGGTTTTTATGCTTCGAAAAAACTTTGAGATGTGGGTCATTTATCAAATGGAGCCTAGGTGAATCTGATGAAGTTATGGGTGCGAGTATGCTTTGAAAAACAGGTAAGTACAAGGAATGCTTTTATAACATGAAATTATACCCTGGTACCTTCACAGTGTGCTTGATCAGGCATTTGATAAATTATACTTGGTGTTGTCATCCCCTTCATACTGAGTCATTTTGGAAACCATTAGTTTTTTTTTTCTATTCTGTCAAGCAGTCACCTGAATTTGAGAGGTTCCTTCTTAGTTCTGAAATCGACCCTGCATTAGACTAAAACTAGTCCAGGTCCTGAACTAGAGCAGAAGAGTTCACTCTTCCTTTGTTGAAAATGAAGGGTCCAAATAAATAAAAAAAGAAAGGAAGAAAATGAAGGGGGTGGGGGGAGGTGCCTGGCCAGTTCAGTAAGTAGAGTATGTGACCCTTGATTTCAGGGTCATGAGTTCAAGACCCACATTGGGCATAAAGCTTATTTAAGGGCACCTAGATGGCTCAGTCAGTTAAGTGTCTACCTCCAGCTCAGGTCATGATCCCAGGATCCTGGGATCAAGCCCCACATCGGGCTCTCTACTCAAAGGAGAGCCTGCTTCTCCCTCTGCCTGCCCCTCTGCCTACTTGTGCTCTCTCTCTATCTCTCTGTCAAATAAATAAATAAAATCTTTAAAAAAAAAAAAGGAACTTAAGAGGAAAAAAAAATCAAAGAACTCTTACCAGAGGATGGGAAGTGGATGCTGGTCAGACAGACACGAAGCCTGCCCGGCACAGACCACACGTGGGGTGATGCACTGCCCAGGCAGGGGAGGAGGAATCCAGCCTCGGACATGCATGGGTTTGCCTCAGCAGTCATCCGCAGAGCCAGTTCGTGTGGAATCATGATGGATGGCATCTTGAGCATCTGAAACACAGCGAGAGGCACAAGGAGGTTTTCTCACTTTGTTGCTACTGTCTTGTGCCCTTTCATTTGGTTCCTTAGCACGTGCAGTTCATGTTTTGGTCTCAGGGAAAGAGAAACCCAATGAGAGCTCAAAGGAGAAACGAGAATTTAATGCTTGGAGGCAGGAGGCCGAGAATGGGATCGTGAAAGACCAGGGCCCTGGATGGGGATCAGAGGGTGTTTTCCATCAAGGGCCACATAGTCAAGTGTTGGGCTTCCCAGGCCTTGCATGTATACCACCTGTCACAACTACTCACCTCCACTGTGGTGGCATGAAAGCGGCCACAAACAACTTTGCATGCTAGCGACTTGAAGTTGGTATTCGTCTAAACTAGATTGTTTTAAGTTAAGGTGTTACCTAGAATCACCAGAGCAATCACTAAGAAAAGAACTAAAAAAACAAAAACAAAAACAAAAAAACTTAACTAAAAGAAACAAGGGAGGGGCACCTGGGTGACTCAGTGGGTTAAAGCCTCTGCCTTCAGCTCGGGTCATGATCTCAGGGTCCTGGGATCGAGCCCCACATCAGGCTCTCTGCTCAGTGGGGAGCCTGCTTCCCCCCTCTCTCTCTGCCTGCCTCTCTGCCTACTTGTGATCTCTCTCTGTCAAGTAAATAAATAAAATCTTTAAAAAAATAAAAATAAAAAAATAAACAAGGGAATTACAGTGGTATCCTTAAAAATATCTACTTAACACAAAAGGCAGGAATGGCGGAATAAAGAAGCTACTGGAAGATGTGCTGCTAGAAAGTGAGGGATGAAACGAAGACAGAGGGAAACACGGGATCCAGGAAGCAGGTGAGGCCACCGAGGAGAGAAGTCGGGACGAGGATGGGGAGTCTCAGGACCCCAGCAATGCCACAGACCCCTAATGAGGCTGTCCCAGTGAGAGGAGGAGAGCAGAGAGCCCTGGAGGAATGTCTCCCAGAAACCAAAACAAAATCAGGAAAGGACCAAGAAAGAAACAGTGGAATATCCACGTGTTTGAATATGCCCAGAGAGTTTTAGTTTTCTTGCAGAATTTAAGGGTGGAGAGTAATTAATATGCAGAAAACGGTGGCAGTGAAGAAAAGAGACAGATTTTGCTCTACGTCATCTGCAGTCCAAGGGTTAAAGTGTGATGAAGTAAATATAATCACATACCACAAGGCTGTGAATACGTGGTCGTAACAGTGTAAGTGCCGATTATTGATTTATCCCAACATGGAGATTATAATCCTATTTTGGAGATGGAAGGATATGGTGCGTGTGTGTCTGTGTGCGCCCGGGGGAAGAGAAGAGAGCCGAATGCCCATCCTCCAGAGGTGGAAGTCAAGAGAGAATATCAGAAACTGATTTTAAGCCTTCGATTACCAGGAATCGAAGACAGATACTCAAAGAAACCGCTAAAGGAATGTAAAGTCTTTGCCTCATGGAAATGGTTCTGCAGAGAGATGGGGCACTTACTCTTTAAGCCTTGTCTTTTTACACCATATACATGGATGGCTTTGATCCTTTTCTGAAATGACAAAACACTGAGATGCCACCTGACACCCACTAGAGTGGCTGGAATCAAAAAACAGATGATAACAAGGTGTAACGAGGCCATGGAGAAATCAGAACCCTCAAACAATGCTGGTAGGAAGGTAAAAATGGAAATGGAAATGCTTTGGAAAACAGTCTGGAAGTGCTCCAAAAATTGAATTTAGAGTTAAATTTTAAAGGGTTGGATTTAGAGTTACAGTAGGACCCAGCAATCTACTTCTAGGTATACACACAGGAGAAATGGAAACATGTATCCACACAAAAATTTATCCATGGATGTTTCTAGCAGTGTTATTTCCCACTGGCCCCAAATTGGAAACAATCTGACTTTCAGCAACAGATTATTGGATAAACAAATTATGATATATACATAGAATAGGATCTTATTCAACCATAAAATATACTGACACGGGCTACAGCCTAGATGAACATCCAAGACATTATACTAAGTGAAAGAAGACAAACATAGGGGACGCCCAGGTGGCACAGTCAGTTGGTTTCAGCTCTGGTCATGATCTCAGGGTCCTGGGATTGAGCCCCATGTTGAGTTCCATGCTCAGCATGGAGCCTGCTTGAGATTCTCTCTCTCTCTCTCTCTCTCTCTGCCCCTCCCACTCATGCTGTCTCTCTGTCTCTCTCTCTCTCTCAAATAAATAAAATCTTAAAAAAAAAGAAGATAAACATAAAAGGCCACATATTATATGCTTCCATGTAGATGATATGTCCAGAATAGGTAAATCTGTAGAAACAGAAGGTAGATTGATGGCTGCCAACAGCTGGTGGGGGCGGGGAGGGGGGCAGGGAGAGTGACTGCTAATGGGTACAGGATTCCTTCCTGGAAAATGTTCTGGAATCAGATGGTGGTGATGGATGTACAGCCTTGCGGATATACTGACAACCACTGAATTGTGCACTTTTAAAGGGTGAGTTTCATGGTATATGAATTATATCCATTTAGAAAACAAAGGTCAAACAACAATAACACAAAGCTCCATCTAGGCCCTTCACTGATAAGCGGATGCTCTTGTGATAAAGAATCTTCCAGTTCATCGCTCCACTGAATCTACTGAATGGGCTCTCAGTGTCCCCCCAGTGGAGTGGAAGTGACACAGGAAACAAGGGTAGTTATTTTCTGGGTGTAGAATCTCCCTCAGCGTTTTTCTGCTATCTTTGTCCTCTCCTCCTGCACTGTCAGTATGAAAATCTTGCCCGCTCTGCACACCACCGTTAAGCCTCTTCATAAGTCTAAGAAGAGATAATTCACATGGTGAGGCGAGGAGCTCCCAGGGAGACATTTTCTCGGCAACAAATGGGCTCCTTCACATTTCTGTCAGGAGGGCATTACAAGCTCTCAAGTGGTTGATGACCTCACTTTTCTCCTCCTAATCCCTCACGATGCTCACCTTTAAAAAAAAAAAAAAATTC